GCCTGAGACGATACTTGACATCTGCCTTCTTTACTATGTGGGCTTTAAGATTTTTGCCCCCATCCTTGTTGGTTTCAGTATTTCCCTTCGTAGTTGGCTGTTTGGCTCAAATATTTATTTGAGAGACATCTTGATAGTAATGAATCATCCTGCTGGCCTCTAGTGTCCATTATCTTTGAGGCAAGAAAGCTCAACTACTAATTTCGATTCTCTCATTGTAATGAGAAACATAGTGTTAAACGGATTTATATTTTCTTTGCAGGTTTATAGGATATATCAGTTGACAAGGGCTACCAGTTTCATCCAGTACTTAATGTTCGCAATGAGGGGCGCCTCTGTATCCCCTGTAGTTTTGGATAGATCTGGAGCATTGGTTTCCATGATTGTGACTTTCCGTTTCATAGGTTTGGTTTGTCTTTGGTCCTTGCTAAACACTTCTTAGGCTCTTTCCATCTAGACCAGTTGCAGAGAACTACTGATTTGTATATAGGATGATAAACCTGCATGATCTTAGCCAATATCATTACAGTTTGATGTTCTTAAATCATTTCAGTTCATTATCAGCAATCCTTGTTTTACTTTTCTGCCATATGCCATTAGGGCAACCTTTTCAAATTGGCGATGAATGAGAAGAACATAGGTTTATTTCCAAGTGAAAATTCTCTAATTCGATAATATTTACAAATAACCAACAAGAAATGTTGCGACTGGATTCGTGTACTGATAAATTATTCATACAATTAGAAAACGGATTTAGAATACAAGTGTATAGTATAGCAGTGAGAAAGAATAGGATTGTAATACATGTAAATTATGAAGGCTGCTGCTCCACAAATTCTGAGTCAATCCCTCATGTTAGCTTTCAATGAAAAACTTCGAATGGTGAAAATTTAGGCTGCAGATCAAGTTGGAAAACATCACAAAACTCCCTAATCAATGATTTATATGCGATATCAATCAACTTGCAGTCATCAGTGTGATCATTATTTGTTGCTCTATGTCCGTTAGACGTCAAATTTACTCTTACCAACCCCTTTATACTTCCAACTTTACGATCCCGAATCCCACATGGAACTATCTGATG